GACTTCCGTATGGTTCGGAGGTGGAGAGAATGTCAAGTGTCAACAGAGTTTCGAATAGTGAGGACATGAGCGCTCCCATGATTCCTTGGTGCCGAGGTGCGCCTGGGGGCTGTCCACGCAACGCCAAATGCACAAACAAGTGACCCGCTAACATGAGGCTTTCAGTCAAATCAATGGCTGGCGAAGCCCTCGATTCTCCCCTGACGCTAATGTGATTTTCTGATGTGAGTGAATTCGCTCGCTTGGAATCTCTGAAGTTGCGATATGCTTCTTCCAGCTGGAAAAGTCGCCATTCCCCTAGATATATCGAGTCACTCAATTGTATTCGCTCAGTGGACATGTTAGCCAAGTTGTTGTAGTCAAAAGAACCTAGGCAATCAGTCACTGAATGCAGAAGCTTGAATATATCGATTATTTCTCGGCTCCGAATCACGAGATCTTTGGGCCCTAGAGGTCTCGTGGTGACCTCCATCGATCTGCCTTGGAAGCGGTTGAGAAGGCTGAGAGAGGACGCCAGTTCCGGAACGAAAGGAAACATTAGAGACTGCCCCGATGCATACGCGTATGAGAAGTCCGCCCTGTTGTCTGTCTTAGCCTGTGTGTACGGATTTGAGTCTGATTATTGGATAGTCGTTCTTACCACTGCCACGGTTGAGGTTAGCTATCGCCGTTTAGAACGTAATGTATGAGACGCAATCATGGGATAACGGCTATAAAAGCCTTTGAAAGAAAATCACTTACTACTAATGCCCTCTGGATAATGTTGATATATTTAAAACCTTCAAGTATACCGCCACGCAAGTCCACAATGCGCTTCAGTCCGCACATATGGGCCGCTGCGGCTTGAATGGAGCCAGTAAAAGTCTGTAGGTATGAGTTAGCAACCGACAGTTATCCCTTGGTAATAGCATCTTTCATTACCTCGTTATTGACCAGCAGCGCAACTGCCATCGTAATACCATCCGAGATGGGCACGTTTGGGCTCTTGCCTTCTACATTTAATCGCTCGTTGATGGCTTTTATGGCTTGAAGGCGGTGGAAATCGAACGTACTCGTGTCGCTCCACTGGGCTAGCGAATTACTGTTCACATGACGGCATATTAGCAAGGTTCCTGCTGTGGGTTTTCAAGGTAATAACGGCTGCACCCCAGCTTCTCCACGCCGTGTATGTACTGATCATTGAGCTTCAAAGCACTCTGAGCAATGGATGAGGCATGCACGTACTGCATAGATGCGACCAATGCCATAAAGGCGTGAGTGATGGCCGTATCGACATGTAACTATTGCACGGTTTAGATTGGACTATAGACAGATGTCCAGGAAATAGTCGCACTCACGGCGTCGAAGAAGTTTCCCTCCGGGTTCATAGCGAAAGCGTTGGCAAGAAAACCGGAGTAATCTGTATATGTTAGTCAAAGGGAGAAGATGGTGTCGTAGATTTATTGGCGTGGACTAAACAAAGAAGCAAGTCGGAAGAATTGAGCTACTCACATGTCATCATATACGTTGGCGCCCCGGCGCGATCGAACCATTTCTCCACCATAGCCTCTCGAGGGCATAAACATACTGTGAAGCAATACTTGAGCAGGGTTTCGGTTAAGGGCGTCGTCTCTATGCGAAGCATGGGAAAGCTCGGTAGTTCCCGTGCTACTACTAGAGCAAGTTCTCGTGATATCATTGCGGGCGTAAAGTTGGCATTCTTGCCCTCCTCGGTGTGACCTCCGAGTGTAGGACTATGAAGCTTAAGTATAGATGTAGGTTTCGTCTTATTTACGTTGCCACTATTGCGACCGCTGCTGGTATCTTTGGGGCTTGTCTCGATTGGTTGGGTAGTTGCTTGGGCAGATGGCTTCACTCTGAACTTGGAAATACGATCCTTCTGCGTCGTCGACTTTCTCGACTGTGTAGGAGGGCTGCTCTCATTCGAGAGTTTCTGCCGCCTTGCATGGGAACGTACTTTACGGCGTGTTTCGTCATCATGGGCGACGGTATTAATAGAGGTGATGAATTGAAAACTCGTGGACTGTGGTATAACCATTGTGAATGTATGGGAAAGGAGTGGCAGCTAACGATGATTCAACGATTGATGAGTCTCGGGCGCGGTGCTAACACACTTTCTGTCCATCCACGTTCGTCTGCGGTGCTTTTAAAAGAAATCGATGTCAATCATCGCCAGATAGAATGACACCTCGATATGCGCGTTCTATTTGAATTACGCTACGTGCAGTGCAGGTATGTAGTTGAAGACGGACGAAATTCTTTTCGCGGGTTTTGCCGGTGGTGTGAAGATTGACTGACCTTTGGCCCCATATCTCCGTCTGGATTCACCCCCTGGCCTACTTCCAAGGTTAGCTTACCTAGCTGGCGAGTGTAGTTAGGTGTATCTTTTCGCTTGGCAGGTAGCTCGTAGGAACTTGCCGATGACAAATTGGCCCTTGATTTACACACCATTAAGCTTAGTACCTATTTTGGATCGGCAAATCGCACCCAACCCATGAAACATCGAGTCCCGGGGCGACTAGATAGCTCACTCGGGATGTGCTTGAAAGCCACCCGCTCTGTGCTAAGTCCGGCATTTACATTGGTTCCAGATCATAGTCTAGCTTTCAACGCCATGGGGGTACCCAGACCGGTTAGGCTTATCCCTGCCTTGATGCTGCAATCTGCGCGTGGGTAGAACGTTACCAGGAGTTGTCAAGGTAATAATAGGTAAGTTACATTGATTGTTGTCGAACCCCACGAGCGTCTATGCATACATGTACACTTACAGTAGTCTATCAGGACCCCATTACACTGCACTAACGGTATACTTTCCTTGGTAGAGTTAAACTCTTATGCTTGGCACTTGATCTAGGCTGCTCGTTAAACTATTGACGAAGACAAGATGAACATTATTACGACAGCAATCTCACCGAGAATTACGACGGCCGTCTGCACACTTCATTACGAGGGTGGCGGAGTAGACGTACAGTAGAGCAATACACAGAGTCATGGCATTCATCTGCAGGACACTCCACTAGCGATAGCATCTCGTTTTCCGAATGCGGCAATTATTGTGCAACGGTGCACGGGCGATCTACCCCATGCAGCCCTGTGGGCAGGCTGTGGGCAGAAGTGGGCAGTGCTGTGGACCGCTGTGGGCTGGGCAGAAATCGATATGTAAGCGGCTTGTCATGATGATAAAGTTGCCAAGACCCCTAAATAGATTGCCGATGAGGGCGTGTCCTGGGCGTGTGATGTCGGTCGCCCTGGTTTCAGCTGATCGACGCGACATGGTGCGACACTCCGGGAGAGGGTTACCTTTTGCATGGCTTGGCCTGACGACACCGCGGTGAGGTTGCGCACCAAATCCCACCTCTGGCGCGGAATTTGCTATACTCTTTCCCTTTATCACTCAAGCTACCGCGTGCCGAGACGGCAATTCACCCACGCGGTTAGCATCATCCGAGACACCATGCGGCGGCTGCTTGCGCCTTGCAGACTCGCGTATGCAGATGATAAACACCCGTCGATCCTAGTACAAATCCTCCCTAGGTAGTTCCTACATCTACCGTCTTGTTTAGATACGCCCTAGCGTTGCGATATCAAGCATCTCTAAAGTACGAGAAGAAGCGTTATCTACTTGGTATTAAATCCAGTAGTTCTTGATCAAGCTATGTCTATGTACTCAACTTTTACTTCGTTTAAAAATTACAGCTAGATATACCTAGATAGGACCTATTAACCAATGTTGAGGGAAACCAAAAAGCGAATGTTTGTACAAAGCTCTATTGCCTCAAACAGAGCAAGCGGGGAATCAGTCCAAACTGTTGGTATTAGACGCGCTTGGCGTATAGTAAGTAATGCCGAACCAAGATCCACGGGATAGAGTAACTAGTACCTTTTTTCACACTCTTATTTGCGGGAGGCTGTACCATCTAGACTTGCTTGCTCTTAGTTCTTAAGGTGTCGTGGTGACGTGGCCTTGTTGCTAACCGACGTAGGATATTGAACCGCGGCTCTATTGACAGTCAATGACGAATCGACTCGTCGACGCAGAGGATAAGACGTTGGTCAGCATGCAACTTCTAGTAGAGGTGTCGCAATTCATACTCTTGGCGGCTCGAGGGAAGGGTATTGATGCTGCATTACACAATGAAAGCTACTATATCTAGAGGACAGAATTGTAATCGGGAGGCAGCCCATGCAACGGTAACGCGTCAGAGTGAGGTTATTCCGAAATCGATAGACGGGATCATCCGAGCCAGTTAGATGGTTGTACTTGGTTGAGCTCTATACCTACCCTACCTACGTATGGAGTGGTTAATTCATCGTCGAACCCACTTTGATAGAGAGGGTTCCTACTATCGATATCTATCTATATATACGGCTATATATGTATATGTATAACCTTATTATGACTAAGCGATTGATTGATACAGACAGAGCAAGTGGTCAATGGCTACCATATTAAAAGTAGAAGTATAACCCAGGTTTACTCACTAGATGACACCTCTCTTCATCCCATATGTATAAGGGATGAGTAATAAAAAATATAACAAAATGTTATTCCATAGAGCCTACATGGTGTAAGTAATGAAGAGTGTCTGCTATTAAGTAAGACAACGAACGCACTTTATAGCTATCTATCTATATCTTATATGGAGAGCGAGCATCGGCATTCCTGGAACAAACAGGTCACTGCTGCCACTACCTAAATAAGCTTAAATGACTAGCTTATTTACCTATTACGCTACGTAAGCGGACTGTATGTAGTGAGTAATATTCATGTTGCGCGTAGCAACAGACTTAAACGGCTGTTAGTTCAAGAGTGCAACTAAGAAATTTCAAACGTAAATTTAAGTTTATACAACATGCGTAACATAACACACTATTCAGTACAGTACATATACATACATGCAGTAATAATTGATACATACCTAAGGCACATGGGAGTAAACAAGACTATATCTATCCAAAGCCAAAAAAGACAAAATAAAACTGAACAAGATGAAGCAGATTGCCCACTAGCGGAATCGAACCGCTGATCTTGTCATGGCATCAGTAGGACGAATGCTTCGTCGAAGTACTAGTGACACGCTATACCACTTAGCCAAGCGGGCTGAATTATCAAGGCTTGATTGGTTTCTCGCGAAGGGGGCAGAAATTATATAGTCAGTTGAGAAAACCGACAAGGAGGCAGAGAGAACCGCTACATAGTTTAACACAAATTTAACTTTGTTTTAGGTTTTTACCATGTGATCATATGGTAGGTAGGTAGTAAGTCTGTTGTATTCCGTATCTGTGGTAGGGTTCACCGCACCGAGTTTAACGTAGCCAGCGTTCAAGGTTAATCCATCTGCAGTATGCGGGCTAACTGGGTACTTAACATACACATACATATATCTTTCCCACCTAATCTTCAGACAGGTTTGTTGCTGTCTTGGCATCATTCTCCATCACTCTGTAGTGGGGTTTCAAGACTTGCTTTAAGCCAGATTTAAAACCCAATCTACAGTCCTTAGACCAATTACACCGGCAATCAGTAATACCCATTGCTTAGCTCATGAATGGGACTGTCAAACCCAACCAGGATCCACGCATTTGGCACGGGTATCTGGCACGGGATTGAGCGAGGACTTGGGACAGTGGGTCTTTAGTGGGCCACAAAGTTGAGTTTGTCGGGCTCGATAAGAAAAAAATTGGAGGGGTTAAGTTTTTTGATAAGCAGCATTTCAGTTGGCGCTCTTTTGTGCTACATACCAGATCGCCTTCTGTCTCCTCTACATCCTCTTTTCTTTTTTCTTTCCCCCCCTTCATCAAGAAAAAGTTGTTGGACAGGTCGGACGAACGGTTGTTACCCGTTTCACAATACTACCGCCTCGCGGCCCTTGCGCATGTGCGCTACCATCTGACATTTCTAGGCGTCTTATCTTGTCTTGTCTTACGTCCTTTCGTTTTCTTTATTTTCCCGCGTAGACTGACTATACGGATCTTCCACCTGATCCGAGCCTCGCGATAATCGCCTAACAATGCCTCACTCTATATCTCCTCCGATAATGGTGGCCAAGTCCAGCGATGCCCCGCCGCCTCCTTCGCCCGAAGATGTCTCTGCCATCCTCAACACCGTCTTCACTGCCACATCCTCCTCCGCTTCCATCGATGCCGCCTATGCCCTTTGCGAACTCTTATTGAACACGGTCGGCTTTCGCGGCATTCAGTACTATGGCGTCGCTGCCGAGGTCAAGAAAGCCGCTGCCGATAAGAAGAGCGGCTTGCGACGCGAAAGCGCCCAGAACCTGCTTGGCGCCTTGTTCGAAAAGTTCCCTTCGCGACAACCCCTCAGTGAAATTGTATTTCTGCTCCAAGATGGCGGTTTGCTTGCCTGTGCCCTTGACGGCTTGGCCGATAAAGGCACTGTCGTTCGCGACGCCGCTCAGTACGGTTTGGATGCCCTATTCGGCCATCTCAGTCCTGAGGCACTTGTCGTTGGTCTTCTGCCAGCCCTCATTTCTTACCTCTCTAAGAAGACGGGTAAGTGGCAGGGCACTGTCGGCGCTCTCAAGCTGATGCAACGGATGGCCGACAAGGCGCAGATGGAGATTGGTTGCACCAAAGAACAGGCCCAAGAGAAGGATCTTCTCAGGGACGCCATGGGTTCAAAGCTCGCCACGTTGATTCCCATTGCTGAAAACAATATGCACGATCTCAAAACCGAAGTTGAAAAACAGGCCGTTCTGACTATGCAGTCTCTCACAACATTGTTGTCCAACGACGATGTCGCCCCCCGAATTCCCCTGCTGATCGAGACTCTGCATCATCCCTCAACTCAAACCCTACAGAAGGCGATTCACGCACTCTCCCAAACGACATTCGTCGCAATCGTTACGTCGCCTGTTCTTGCGCTCTTGACTCCTTTCCTTGACCGGACATTGAACAACCCCGGCACGACCCAAGAAGTACTACGGCAATCTACCGTCATCACTGAAAACCTAACCAAGCTGGTACATGATCCTGTCGAGGCAAGGATATTCCTCCCAAAACTTCAACCGGGTGTCAAAGCCGTGGCCGATCGAGCTCCCCTCCCTGAAGTTCGCGAGCTGGCCACTAGGGCTTTGGATGTCATGGACAAGGCCATGGGCAATGATGCGGCTGCCGTGGAACGTACTTCAATCGATGATGTCGCCAAGGTTCTTGATGCCGAGATTAAAAATAACGGAGGTTTATCTGGCGACTTGGATTTCTATAAGCTAGCTCGTCCTTACATCTGTGAGATGGTCGCTGATGATTCCAATTACCGTCAAATCAGTAGAATCCCTGGTAGGGTTGGTCCTTACCTCAAGGACCTGCTACATCAACCAGGCGCCAGTGACGCTATCGCGTCTGCTGTCCATCAGTACTACGTCGCAGAAGATGAGCGTAAATTCGGCATCCCGGAGAAAGAGGATGACGGTGAAACTGAGATTGTCAATGCCGACTTCTCTCTTGCGTATGGTGGAATGCTCCTATTGTCTCATACCAACCTCCGTCTCCTCAAAGGTCATCGGTATGGGCTTTGTGGCCGAAATGGAGCTGGCAAGTCGACACTGATGAAGAGTATCGCTGGCGGTAAGCTAGAAGGCTTTCCTCCTCAGGATGTCCTTCGAACCTGTTACGTGGAGCACAACCAAGGCGAGGATGCTGATATTAGTATTCTTGATTTCATGGTCAAGGACCCAACAATTGCCTCAGAGGGCCGGGAAAGGATTTCCGAGGTTTTAGCAGAGTTTGGTTTCACGGCCGGACCGGAAGGCCGCCAATCTCAAAAGGTTGGATCATTGTCTGGAGGTTGGAAAATGAAGCTAGCCCTCGCTCGGGCTATGCTTCAGAAAGCCGACGTGTTATTATTGGACGAACCTACCAATCATCTGGACGTTGCCAATATTGCATGGTTGGAAAATTACCTCAAGTCGCATACAGATATCACCAGCTTGATCGTTTCCCACGATTCCGGCTTTTTGGATAACGTCACAACTGATATCTACCATTACGAACCGGGTAAAAAACTTGGCCACTTCAAGGGAAATCTAAATGCATTCGTCAATGTTCGCCCGGAGGCCAAGGCTTACTACACCCTTTCAGCCTCTAATGTACAATTCAAATTTCCGCCTCCCGGTATCCTCTCGGGTGTCAAGTCCAATACTCGTGCCATCATCCGCATGACCAATTGCACCTACCAATATCCCAGCGCCCCAAAGCCATCACTTAGCGATGTCAGCGCCCAGCTCAGTCTCTCTTCCAGAGTTGCTGTCATTGGCCCCAACGGTGCGGGCAAATCTACTATGATCAAGCTTTTGACTGGCGAGGTTATTCCTACTACCGGTCGGGTTGAGAAACATCCCAATTTGCGTATTGGTTACATCAAGCAACATGCCCTAGAACATGTAGAGATGCACCTTGAGAAGACACCCAATCAATATTTGCAGTGGAGGTACGCTAACGGCGACGATCGAGAGGTGTTCTTGAAACAGACTCGCATTCTTTCTGACAAGGATCGGGAGCAAATGGAGAAAAAGATTGACCTTAACGATGGGAAAGGTGGGAGAACACTTGAGGCTCTTGTGGGCCGGCAAAAATGGAAAAAGACGTTCCAATACGAAGTGTAAGTTGAGATTACTAGTTTTACGCAAAGCATAAACTAACCATTTTATAGGAAATGGATCGGCTGGCTTCCCAAGTTCAACTCGCAGGTTTCTCGAGAGACGTTGCTAGAATGGGGTTTCGACAAGCTAGTGCAAGAGTTCGATGACCACGAAGCTTCACGAGAAGGTTTAGGGTATCGTGAACTTCAGCCAACCGTCATTTCGAAGCATTTTGAGGATCTTGGTCTTGACCCAGAGATCGCCAACCACAATGAGATCGGCAGCTTGTCAGGAGGCCAAAAAGTCAAGGTGGTCATTGCTGGTGCGATGTGGAATAACCCACATCTGCTTGTCCTCGACGAGCCCACCAACTTTTTAGATCGTGATTCTCTGGGCGGTCTTGCTGTGGCCATCCGAGATTTCAAAGGTGGTGTTGTCATGATATCCCACAACGAAGAGTTTGTTGGGGCTCTCGCCAGTGAGCAGTGGCATATCAACGATGGCCGAATGACATTGAAGGGTACCGCCGCAATCTCTTTTGATCGCTTCGAGGATAGCAGGCCTGGCAGTGGTCTCAACAGCACCATCGCTAGTACTGCGGCCAGCAGTGTTGCGAATAGCGCAGTCAACAGCGCTGTTAACAGTGGGGTTGAAGACAATACACCTCTGAAATTCAAGGCGATGAAGAAGAAGAAGAAGACCAAGAAGGAGGTCAAGGAGCAAGAAGTCCGACGCAGACTGCGCCATATTGAATGGCTTAATACCCCCAAGGGCACACCTCACCCTGTCGATACGGACGACGAGGAATAGATGATGGACCTGCCAGACGATACTTTAGATGAAAGTTTCGAGATGGCAATTTAATGCGCTTCATGTTCCTTGCGCTTACAAGCCAACCATCTTGTCTGATAGATGATGCATAAAAGGGGATTCGCTTGGGATGATCATCATAGATGCATAGAGGTTTCTTCACGGCGTTCACTTAGACAGGGGTTTGAGCGACGACTGGTCTTAATTGCTCAATTCGGGAATGTTTTTTGGATTTGTTTCTTCGTTAAATACGGTTAACGACGTTTAACAACCTTCGAGAAAGTGTTGTGGGCTATAATGTCTTCGTATACAGATGTTTTTTAAAATGAATCAGTCGCTTGAATATTTCTCTTTTTCAGAAGGACAAATTTTTGCAGTGATATATCCCGCTAATGAGAGAATCCGCCTTGTCTCTTCACGTGGGGTACGTATTGTCCGATCTGCTACACGTGTTACTATCAGGAGGTCAAGTTTATCCAGACACTTTACCCGGCTTTCATAGATACACACTAATATTGTACACAAGCAAAGACTCAAACCGCGACGAGAGTATCCTATGTTTATTTCAATCAACTACGACAAGCTTCAAGAATTAGATATATAACTCTAGTCTAGGTGAATGAGGTGGATGACCAGATCATGATTTAACCCTGCACTCTATCAGCTGGCGTCGGCTATGCCCCTGATCAATA